AAGATAAAATGGGACTGTCCTTTTTCGTTGTTGTGCGTTTGTTTTATGTATTTTTCTTATTTTTTTCTCCTTTGTACGTTTTGTGTATGTTTTTCTTGGGTCTGTGTGTAGGTATATATGTAGTGTTGATGTTTGTGAGTAGTGTCTGTAGTTGTAGGTGCAGATTAGGGGGAAATGGGATGAAATGGGGTAGTGGGGTAGTGTCGAGAGGTGTGGGATATGGAGGAGTGGAGAGCGGAAGAGAGGTTTAAGGGGTGGGATATGGGTAGTTTAGGTTATTTTTAATTTTATTTTATAAATTAAATATATATAAAATTCAAATTAATTAGTTTGAACTAAAAAGTTAAATAACCAATTTGAAAGAGATAATACTAGTTTATTTATTAATCTAAATTAAAAGAACACATAATTTTTTGTAAATTTTCATTTCTTTTTAAACCACTGGAAAAATAAAATTTTATCTAAAATCGCGATTCTATTTTTGTTGTTTTCAAATCTTTTAAAATAAAGTTAGTAAAATAAGGTAAAAGTCAAATATTTAATTTATATTTTTGTAAAATATTTAAGCTCTAAAAAGGGCGTAACACTTAAGTTCGGTCAAAAATTATGTGTCTACAATCATGATGAAAGTGGAGGTCTTCAAGTGGGTGTAATGATTGTAATAACAAGTTATCAAAAAAAAGTGAAGATGGAAAAAAATTCAGATGTAGAGTTTTTGTGAGTATAGAACGTAGAGGATGAGATAAGTATCTTTGAAGTGTTTGGGTTTTGCTATGATTTTCTTACCTTATTTGAAGTTTATTTTTTCCTAAAAGAAAAGACAAAACATTACCATAAGTGTTTTTACTTTTTTCTGAAAGGAAAATATAATTTTCTTCCATATTTGGTTTATTCTTTCCTTAGAGGAAAAATTTGGAGATCTATAAATTGAAGATCTCTATTCTCAAAGCTGAACACAAGAACATCCACAATATAGACATTTAAGAGTTTTGTTTACGGGGAGATTTTCTCTCTACAATTTTAATGTTTTTTTATTAGTTTTCAATATGTAGGCCAATTGGCCAAATTCCAAATAATAATATTTTGATTTTTAGTATAATATTTTGTCATCTGATTTGTCAACCATATGATTTGCACTTGTAAACTTCCGCATGACGCCCTATTCACCTTTATTTCCCTACAAGTGGTATCAAAGCACATGGTTCAACGATCCAATGGAACAAAATTGAAGACATGTTCAAGGCGGTTTCAAATCAATTTGTGTTGATGATAATGAAGATTTTTTGTCAAGCTACATGTGGAGAAGAAGTTTCAACCATATTTTCAACATTCTTGTTGCTGCAATTTTTAAGAATAAAAACAAAATATTTTTAACCCATATATTTTAAACTTTATTTTTAACCATGGCAAGCAACAGTGATGAAGATTTTGTGACGAACAAGATTATCATGCAATGAAGAAGACAGATCAAGCTTTGTCAAGAAAATCCAGCCAAAAGGGGAGATTTGTTAGGGTTTTGCCCTGATTTTCTTACCATAATTTAAGATTTATTTTTCCTTAAAGAAAAGACAAAACATTACCATAAATGTTTTTAGTTTCCTGAAAGGAAAATATAATATTCTTTCATATTTGGTTTATTTTTTCCTTTTAGGAAAAAGTTTTGGAGTAGCTAGTTCTTTCTAGTAGGAAAGGTTTTAGGACTCTATAAATATAGGTTTGTTTCTTCTAACACAATAACATCCACAATGTAGTCGTTTAAGAGTCTTGTTTATGGGGAGATTTATTCTCTCTAAAGTTTCAATGTTTTTCTTTATATTAGTTTTGATATAATGATATTTTGATTTTTAGTATAAGTTTTTTGTTATCTGATTTATCAACTATATGATTTGCAAATTGTAAGTTTCCGCATGATGCCCTAATTACCCTTCAGAACCCTTCAGATGTAGAGTTTTAGTGAGTATAGAACGTAGAGGATGAGATAAGTATCTTTGAAGCTCAACTCAATTATTAATAAGTTTATGATGCATTCCTTACTTCTGTGAAGGATACATTGAAGGTAGAGACGATCAAAACTCAATTATAAGTTAAACTGAAAAGGTTGAAAAGAAATATAAGAAAAACGTTGACAAAACGAGTTTTTTCAAACCTCATGAAGAGAAGTTATTTAAATTATCAAAGAGAATTTGGGGATCACAAGTGAAGACTAAGACTATTGATTTGATTTTAGGTGGAAGTAGTGTTGTTGATTCAGACGATTGGTAAGAAGAAATCTACGTCAGTTAATTAAGGAAAAGGATATGAAAGAAATACTGAAAAAGTCACAATCTGTGAAGATTGGAATGGCTCGACAGTATTTGTTTGGAGATACAAGTGATGGAGGAACAAACAAACCTTATTCTAATACCAATTCAAAGAAATAAATTACTCAAATTAATAATATATGCACAAGTAAAAGATCCAATGATGGTTATATATAAAAAATTTAGTAATCTACTTAGAAGAGATAGGAGACTTTATTCAATAAGTCAACGGATAATGGTCTGAAAAATATCTCAACTTTGGTCGAATTTGATGTTACGATACTAAACTTTCATGAAGACCTATTACCTCCCTAGACTATTTAATACCGTATTTTTTACCCCCTGAACTATTTAATAGTGTATTTTAAAGGTATATATGTGTCCACGTGGACACATTACTATTTATAATTTTGCATTATTTTTTATGTCCACGTCGGCAAATATATATGTTTAAAATACGATATTAAATAGTCTATGGAGGTAATATGTCCTTATGAAAGTTTAGTATCGTAATAGCAAATTCGACCAAAGTTGGAGTATTTTTCAGACTCTTATCCCTTATATCATATTACATATTGTATCTCTCTACATTGAAAATATATAATAAGACACTGCTATTTATAAGACTAACAAATCAAATTAAACTAGGACTAGAAACCTTCTTAACTAACAAATCTTATTTAAACATAATTCAGTAAATACCATTAATAACAAATCTTAAACTACTTAGAAATCTTATAATTGAATTACTACAAATAACAAATCCTAAACTAATAAGAAATCATATCCTTGGTTTATTTCCTACCACTAATAATGGAGAAGATGAGTTTATGATGTCAGAAAGGGGTATCTATTTGGATTAAATTAGTTGATAAAGTTATTCAAGACTGACTTGGATAATGAAATTTTAAGCAATTTCATAGTATTCATATATATAAAAGTCTATATAAAAATATTCTACTATTATAGAAGTGTGAGTAGAGTAGGAGGTATCAACATGTATGCTATATGCCAATAAAATTTAAGGGTGATTCAGTCATTTGCAACTTCTATTTAAGATGCACATTATTGCCTTAAGCTTCTGTATTTGACGTGTCAGAATTTGCTTGCCATTACCATTAGTTGGCTTCTACCCTAAAGCCAACACATTTATATCCCAAATGGCAACACATTTTATTTTATTTCTATCTACTATATATAAGTGGCTAGAAGCAGGTAGCTAATGGACGACATGCCTGCTTCTTGCCAGCCAGGGTGCAATTTCAGAATTTTCAAATTATGTTATTTCTAGCAATGATACTTAAGTGTTTGAAGGCTTGTACTTGTTCTTCTTTGGACAAAAAAACCAAGCTATCTCTTATTATTTCTTTTTGTATCTTCAATTAACTTAAAGTTTGTGAAGAATGGTGGACCCCATTTGTATTTTGATTTCACGCACATACTGGAGTCTTTTTAATTATTTCTCTTCACAAAATAGGTAAAAGATATGGACCCTACTTTGAATATGTTTCCGCACGCGCTGCCTTTGCAATCGTTTTACAAAGATGAGTTACATTATCATACAACTTACTTTCTTAACTATAATAAATTAAGTCTTTTGAAAAATTAATTTAAAATAATTATAGTTAATAATAAGAATAGATTAAAAATAAATAATAAATTATCTTTTGATATTTAAATTGAATAAATAATTATTAATTTGGTAGACAAATAAAAATAAACGAAGCGAGTAAAATAGTATCTTGTGGTAATCAACTTGTAAATGAACACCATAAATATTATTCTACTTATTCATATTTATGTGATGGTTTTTAATTGATCATGATCTTTAAAAATGAGAGGAATTATTGTGCATTATTTCATTAGGAATTCTAAAAAGACCTTAAAATGATAGAATAATAAATATAAAATATTATAAATCACAATTTAGAATATTTGAAAATCATATAAAAACTTTGATCGACTCTTCAAATTTTATTTGTGTCACATAAATTGAGATATAGGGAAATAATATATTATTTAAAATTAAAACGATACTATAAGTGACAATAATTAACAATTCAAATATTTTTAAAAAAAAATAAAAATTCGGCTGCCTCTCTAAGTTTTATCTATAGCACTTAAATTAGGAAACACCATTAAGTAGATGATTTTTTTTTTTACTTATTTATCTTAGTTGATTGAAATCATTTCTCTTTCCATTACAGGTTATTTTAGACTTACTAATTATTACCTAGTTAATTTTTTAAAAATCGTGTGTTCTCTCATCATTTTTTTCTAATTATTTACAACTTCAAAATTTAAATATACTTATCGAAATTTGTAACTACATCATTGTGATGACTCCTAATCTCTGCCAATTTGAATGTGAAGAATCACAGGAAATAAGATGAAATTATATGTTAATCACGTCATATTAGTACAATTTATTCTTTAATTTGAAGTTATACGCATTAACAATGAGAGTGTAAGATTTTTATCTTTAAAAAATACATTATCACCGTAGTTTAAATTTTACTTTTATTTTAACCAAAGAATTAAGTTAACTTATAGAAGAAATTTGCTAGTACTTATTTTATATTTAAAATTTATGTAATTAAGTTTGAGATATATTTTCAATAGTCCCATAAAATTTTGTGATGATTTTTTTATGAAGAAAATATAAATGAAATAAATTGTCAATGTGTAGGTTACATGTCCTTTTATTATTTATCATTTTTTCTTTGAATATTGACATATATATATAGATTCCCAGTCTGGGACATGAACAAAAAGAAACAATATTTTCCTTGTGTATACGTCTATATATACACCTGTTTTCCAAGAAAATTCAAACTCAGTAACCTCATCACAGTTTACACCTAATTCTAATTTCTAAGGGTTCCATTATAAAGAATTAATAAAATGATACAAAACTTATAATCACATAATATGACAGAGAGAACCAGAGTGCTCTCTCTATTAGCAAATAAAGAAAACAACTATTTCCAAATGCTAAAAGCATCTCCTGATGACTTACACGGGGATGTTTGCATTGGCACGTCCTGCTGAACTGATATTACCTTTTGCCTCGAGTACATCAGACATAGACCTCAACCTGTTTCTAATCTCCGTGAATGATGGCCGAGCTTCAGGATCAGCAGACCAGCATTGTTCCATCAGCTTCCTCCACTCGGGATCACACCTTTCTGGCATTGGAGGCCGAAGAGTATTCTTCAAAATCCCCCCTACAACAATTATCAAACAAGGTCAAATTGGAAAGGGTTGGGAAATCATTAAGACACAATTCTTTTCTTTTCATTGCCTCAAACGACCATTAGTTTTAAGTTGCTCTTCATCAATAAAGAAAACTTATCAGAAATAGCAAGTAAGCTGGCCGTTCTTATATCTTTCTGGCCCAATTAGGTGTGAATTGGCCTACACATTCAGCATTGTTGAGCATTGATATGATCAAACCAAACGAAATACATGTACTAGCAGTCTTATCTACCTCAGACTACGAATACATGACAATCTCAGAAATGACATGATCACCTACAAATGTTGCACAGTCAAGTGGTTATACTTCTTGAACTCACAGAGAGCAAGAGTAATGCTTTTATCTGGAATTATGCTTTGAGGCTAGACCCTTGAACTTGCAGAGCATATCGGGATACTGATTAAAAATAGCTCAGTTTCGATGCATGGGTATATTTTTTGGACGACCAATATAGGGATCATTTATTAGCACTGACACTTCCAATAACAAGGACAGAGTCAATTTGTTAAAATTTCAAAAGACTAAGCTTGGTCATGGCCAGACATTTTGGCTTTTGCCTCATGTTCCAAGTTTCACATGTATTAAGAGAATGGAGAATTCTCAAGCACATTAGCAGTAGCAACAATTAACAAGAGTGAGATGCTGGTCTGCAAAGTTACTTTCATATGCTGGCAGCTTGCAGCTCATAAAAGCTGTATCTGCATATCTTTCCTACCGAGAGGGGATGCCTACGTTACTAAAAGGGCTCTAGTGGCATGTGAATCTTGAATCTTGTCACTTGGAACAGAGCAGCAATATTAAAGCATTTATGGGCTATAGCTGAGGAGAATAACCATCTCTGGATCAAGTGGATCCATATCTACTATGTGACAAATGAAATCCTGGACAAATGCACTACTCCTGGAAATGCTAGATGGGTTGTGAGGAAAAATTTGGAGGCAAGGAAATTAATGATGCAGGCAGCTGGACTACAGGGGGACTTGAAAACTAGGCTCATGGCTATGGTGGTAAAGCGAGAAAATGACCAAAATGGTCCTTGATGTATGGGGCTTGAACATTCTTGGTCCTTTATATATATTACCTTACTAAAATAGTCCTTAATGTATATAAAAATATGATCATTTTGGTCTTTAACCCTAAAACTAACTCTACGAGTGATATTTTTTGTTAAACTTAACTGTGCGTCCCACAAAATTGCCACATGGCAAACCCCTTCTCTCTCAATCATCTCTCTTCTGCTGCAACTTTCAATTGATTTATTCTTCTCTCCATTACCTCCTTTTCTAAACCAAATTTTACCAGAAAAAAAAAACTAACACACAAAAATCTCTTCAAATTTCAAAGAATATTTTAAGATTCTATTTTCCACCTTTTATCCATTACGTTTTCACCCTTTAATGTCAACAACGGAATAAAAAATTAATACATCTTAAAAATGACAAAATAAGAAAAAAGTTACATTCTTCTCATAGATCCCTTCAACAAGAAAGAATACTTGTTTTAAACTTGAAAATAGTTTACTTATGGAGATCTCGTAAAAGAGAAATGGAGTGTTTTATCTAATTTACTTAGTTCATATTTATTTTAATGGATCGTTTTTTTTTTTGGTCTAAAAATGGGAGTTGCTGGGGATTATTATTACAGAGGGGAACTAACAAATGAGTGTAGTGTGTATATATATATTTTTTACAAGAATATGACAAGTGGGTGAACTGAAAATGGAGCATGGCGTCTAATGGTGGTGAAAGAAAGAAGACCAAAATAGTCATCTGTTAAGTTTAACAGAAATTTTTACTTCTATGGTTAGTTTTAGGTTAAGGATCAAAATAGTCATCTTTTTCTATACATTAAGGACTATTTCAATAACATGATATATATAGAGGACTAAAAATCTCCAACCCTTATATATCAAGGACCATTTTGGTCGTTTTCTCGTGGTAAAGCAGACGTTCTCGAGCAGGAGGACATATACATGCTTGTTCCCTATTCACCCCATGGTTCCATGGAAAAGTCTGTCCATGCAAAAAAACATTCACCCAAGGCACAAGTTTATCCTCTGGCTAGCAGTGCAAAAAAAAATCTAAGTTGCGGGGACTCTTCACTTTCAATGTTGCACTCGTGTTGGATTCTCCAAAAATACACTACTTTTGGCGAATCTGACACGCACCCCTTGACATTTTTGAAGAGTCTGAGCCTAAGTTGTTCGGACTCGGGTGCAGGTGTCCGATACGGGTGCGGATTTGTAGGTCGGATCCTTCATGATCTAATTTTTAAGATTCGAGTATATGGATCCATGTATGGATACGGGTGCGGGGATTCGCCTAAAATTAATTAAAATATCTAAAGTTAGGGTTATAAAACCTAAATTACGAGATATTTTGTGGAGAACTTGACGAGAATCTTGAAAGGAGATTAAGGGTCTGTTTGGAAAGCCACTTGGTAATTGGAATTGATGTAATTACTAGGGCAGTAATTACCAGCCTAGTAATCACACTGTCTAGTAATTACACTGACATGTTTGGTTGCCACAGTGTAATTACACTGTAATTACACATGTCCCGTTTGGATGCTACAGTGTAATTACACATGTTCTGTTTGGATGCAGAATTGCAATCATAAAATTATAATAAATTTTAAAAACAAAAAAATTAATTATTTAAAATTTATACTAGACAAATAAGAAACTTTATAAATGACATTAAATTAAATATTTAAGATATATATTCTTTTTTGAAAATATATTAATTAATAAACATATTTTATGTAACTAATATTATGAAAAAATAATTGATTTATATTTTTTCAAATTAATATATTTCAATTGAATTGATCGTAACAACTAAAAGTATGAAGTTTCTACGAACATCGTGAAATGCATGTTTGATAAAAAAGAATAATATATAAATAAAATGTCATAAATTATTAAATGTTTGCAAAAAATATAATCTATCAAGTCTAATTAAAAAATGACGTGCAATGTAAATTCAATATTACTAAAACAAATGAAACTAAAAATATAACATAGGTTATAAATTCAAAACAAAAAATTTAACATAATACTCTTCTAACAAATTTCAACATAGCAATAAATATGATTTATTTTTATTTTTTCTTAATAAAGAAAACGTAAGTCTATAACCTTACTTAACAATAAATTCTATTTTAATTTAAAAATTAGAATACTAATAAAACTATGCTAATGAGAAAATAAGCATGGCATAAAGAAATAGATAATACGAGAAAATTACATAGAATCACGTAAAGTAAGGTTGAGAACAAGAAGAAAATGAAATATAATAATATAAAAGAAAAAATAAACTTTTACAAATTTTTAGAATAATAAAAATAAAAAAAGAACTTAAATAATAGAAGTAAAAAAAAATTAAAACAAGAAAATAAAAATAGAAATAAAAAAAAAGAAATTAAAAAGTAATCAGGTGACCAGCAATTCACAGCCTCTGCCTGTGAATTGTAGAGTGTAATTACCCCCCTGCCAATTACACCAATTACCTGCTGACCAAGTAATTACCTGTCCTTCCAAACAGGTCAAGATAGTGTAATTACACCAATTACACCAAATCCAATTACCAGGGTGTCCTTCCAAACAGGCCCTAAAGGAAAAGGAGTGACATAGAAATTTCTTCAATTTCATCTTAGCTTTTGTATTGATTATAGAAATCATTAAAACTGTCCAGACTTTCCCCATCGATTTTGGTCAAAGTACCCAACATTGGTTGAACAAATTGGACACGGATCCCACTCCCACACCCACACCCATGTCGTGTCGACACGGGTGCAGCACCAAAAGTGAAGAGTCCGAGCAACTTATAAAAAGTTTGCCCACAGTTGAGAGACTGCTAAAATTTGGGGTGCAGGTACCCCCGCTGTATGCATTCTGTGGTAATGCTGATGAAACAATGGATCACTTACTTTTCACATGCCCTATCACAAGGGCCTTATGGCAGAGGATCCTGAGTTGGCTGAACATACAAAGAACCATTGGAATTGGCAGGTGGAGACTCGGTGGATAAGTTCTTGTGCAAAGAAGAAGTCTGGTAGAGGTGCTATAATAAGCAGCTTACATGCAATGTTAGTTTGCCCTATTTGGAGGGAACACAATCAGATTAGATTCTAGGCTAGTAGATACCAAGCAGACAGAATATGCAAAGAGATGGCCATCTACATCCATATCAGAGGTACCAACATCAAAATCTGGCAGGCTACCCTAGATAGTCTCACCTCCTTCCCCTGATGGACTTGGTTGCACTAGAAATTGTTTCACGATAATAAATAGATAGAAGTATTGGTAATAGCTGAGACTGATGAGAGTGATTTGTAGTCAGGCGTTACGTACAGATGGTCTACTTCTGTTTTCCTCTTCTATTATTTTTTCTTTAAATTTGAGAAACAGGTGGTCAGCCCTGTTTAGTTTTGTAATGTGTCACTTTTGGTATTATAACAGTTTGATTATCAACAATTAACAAGACTAGAGAAAATGTATTAGAAACAAGGCTGAAGGGGAAATATGTATAAATCATATGATATTTTTCAGAAAAAATATGATTTAAAATATAATTAAGCTGACATGTTGTCAACTCATTGATTTATAGCACAGAAAATGTTAATGCCATATGGTCTGATTTCTTAAATGATATCATATCCTTTGAATTGTTTATGAACCTCAAATGGATGTAAGCACAGACTTGATCATGCAAGTATAACTCCCATTATTGTTTTATTTTTTAATTGGTAAAGTTGTATTCCTCAGCATTAAGGGCATGCTGGACACCTCCAAAAAGTTGTTAGGAACCATCTTAAAGTAATTACAATGAACCTAAAAGATCTACGAACTGTTTAACCTCTTCTATATAATTTTCTTTACACCAAAAGTGAAATGTTACAATGCATCTTCCTTTAACTTCCAGAATGTTGTTGGCTTTGTTGTCAAACCATCTTCCATTCCTCTTA